CTTCTCACAATGAGAAAATATTTGTCAATTATCTTGAGGAAAAAGCCTTTCTTAGCAGTAATTTTCGTTGCAGTAAAGAAAAAGTATTTTTGCATTTTAAGGGTGCGATTAGAAACGATGAGATTTTTCTGATTGTATTATAGTACCTAAAGAAAATTTTATTATTATGACTTTCGTTATTAATGGATTTCTTGGTCCAAAGAGCAAGAGTATACAACCTAACAAAATGACTTTACTAGATGTTATCTGATGATGAAGAACTTTATATCTCATAGCACTCCTCTTAAATTAAGGGTAATTTGATCAGAATTTTTTTTTTTTTTTTTTTTTATGCAATCACAATATAACTGAATAACTGTCAGTTTGGACTAAGCATTCGGTCGCACAATTAACCCATTATTCTTGGTTTTACGAACCAATTTTTTTTCATAGTTCTGTGTGCGAATATTTAGAATTTCTGGGCGTGTATGATAAAATTTTAAGAGGAATCAACCGCATAACTGGTAGAAGCTGTGATGAAAATTGGAATTTAAAATTATTCGTATTAGGCTAGGTATTTTACCAATTTTCTCGCGATATCTCTGATTAACGTTATTTTTCCTTTGAAATATCCTGTAAGGGGTTATAATGCTACCCAGCTGAAATTTTATGAGCAAATTCAATTAATTATTCCCTCTGTCTTTATTCATCACGGAAAATCTTTGATAATTTTTCCAGCTATTTTCTCGCCAGTGAAAAAATTCGGATGTTAAATTAATATACCGGTTGTAAAAAAAAGTGCGGCAACCTTACAACGTTAGGCTCGATACTAAAAAAAAACTATAATTAAAATTACCGTATTGGCGGTATTTCTTTTCGATGGCGAAAGCTTAAAAGTGCATATATCTCCGATTGCAACGTTGATAATTTTTTCTCAAGTTCTATTTTTTTTTAAAAGAAAACTAACCAAAAATTTTTCTTGAAATGTCAATGAATTTTGTTCACTCGTTCAAACTTATGCACAAAAAATTGCAAGGTGACATTTTGGTTGGTCTTTTCTTAAAAAAAAAAAAAAAAAAAAAAAAAAAAAAAAAAAAAAAAAAAAAAAAAAAAAAAACGAAGTCGGAGATTTTGAAATATTTTATCGTAGACACGCATTTCTTGACTTTAGCTGTCTGTATAAACTCTTAATAGTAGCCATAACTAATAGTAATGGTATTTTCATCATTAGGTAAGTGATTAGTTCACCACTGCTTTATTGAAGGTATCACTTAATGGTAGAAACACCACTATTATTGTCCAAGAGTTTCTGCGGAGCATTACTATATGATGAGATAATTGTGAGGTTTTTCCTCAATGCTCAATGACTGTATGTGCCTCATTGATGGCTAAAGTGTGAATCCTCGTATCTTCGTTTGCGACGCTGCGGATTTCCTGTCATTCTTAGTGTTTCCGTGGAGAGATGTTTAATGTAATTTATAGCTTCCCTGATTTTTCCTCTCTGTTAGAGAAATATTTTGTTTAAATTTAAAGCTAAAATGTTGACTGGTTATTTCACGAAAAAAAAATGAGCGGTGATTTTGAAACACCGCAAAGTAAAAACGTAAATCTGCACTTCGGCCATCGTCAAGCAATATCCTCAGGATATAAAATTAGCCGTGGAGGCAGTCGAGACAAAATTTTTGTTAATATAACATCCTAATTTTTTCGGAATTTTTTAACGTGTAGGTATGTTAATATAATGTGAGAAAATTACCAGAAAGTTAGTAAGAATATCAGAAACTCTCGATGATCAACCCTCATCTCAAAACCCACGATTGTTGATTTGAATGGACTTTTACCGCGGGGTAGTCCAAAATCCAACCGATCCGAAGATATCGTGCGCTGGTAAGTAACGGTTGCGAACGGTCGTAACTACCCTTCAGTGTTGGGGGTGGTCTGTGTTTGCTTTGATCCTTTCATGCCCTTTTGAGAAAAGGCATTGGATCCAGGACTTCCTCGCAGTTACCCCGGCGCGATCCTGTGTTCCCGCTCTTCCTTAAGACATTCGAATCCTCGCCCGGGTGACACCCCCGGATCCCTTCCTCAACCCCCTCCTCACCCCCCTCATCCCGGCCTAGTGACAACCCCAAACGTTACCCTTTACCGCGGCGCGGCGTGCCGCGTGGCGCGTCGATTCTTCGCTTTCGGTCGCCCTAATTCATTGCCGCCAAACGGGACTGTGACGGCGATACTTGCACACAGGGATGACGAATTTGAATCGATTTTTTGAAAAATCGATTGCTTGCGGAAAAAAGTCGATTCGGTTGAACTGATTTTTAGAGGTCGCTTTAAAGTTTTAAGCGATTTCTCGAGCCAAAATTGAAAAAAATCGAAATATCCTACGTGTATGTGTCGCACAAGGCCTAGATTCTGTGAAGCCTGAGTTTCATTTCAAGTTCAGCTTCAGAAGTGGTTGTGTTCTTGGCACCGAAATTGGGGTTTTACATATTCTAAAATCGATTTTAAAAAAATTGATTTTTTCCGCAGTTGATCTTCATCATTCGATTTGAAATCTTGCCTATACTAGGGCCCACGAACGATGATCCCTGAGCCGCGGGTATTTCTTGCAAACACTGGCAACAGCGACACCCCGGCCCGAACCGAGTCTCGAGTTCGGGGACAATGCCGAGCCGAGCCACAATCGAACCCTAATTACTTACGCGTAATTTCCAATTTCACCCTCCCGCTAGAAAAAACCAAAATTTGTTGAAAGTTATGTAACATTTTTTTAGCAAGTGTTTCGTTACTCTCCTTTAAAACACGAGTAAAAAGAGGCCTCGTTTATAAAAATCGGTCAAATAGCAGCAAAGTTACAGTTCGAGTTACGATGTTATAAATAAAAATTGGACTTTGCTTCAAAAAGGAAAAAGAAGGAAAAAATAAAAATTGTATATAACAATTGTATATGATTTAGCTCAGAATTTTACGAGCAATCCAACCATGTAATGGACGAAGAGATTGGGGCAAAATTACAAGAAATTGATCTTTTACGAAAGGGTTTCCTATGAAGAATTTTGACCTGAAGATAGGGGTAGAATTGCAGCAGTTCGCATACAATAGCTTTTCGCGTTCACAATACCCGGTCTCGTCGATGTGCGTGCTCGACCCTGCAGCGTTGTCATTTACATGGTCCATGCGTTTATTCGCCCGATTTTTCAGGGATCATCGTCCGTGGGCCCTAGTATAGTCAAACCGTTTAAAACGAAATCCTGCCTAAGTTGAAAATCCCCTCAGTTCTTAGACTCTCATGAGACGCAACTTACAGAAAAACTACAATCAAGATTAATTTGCGACTTTGTCGTGGCGGAAAAGCTGCCTAAGTCGATGCGAGAGGTCGACAAAAATTCGATTTTATTCGTGAAAAATCAAGAACACACAGCGATTTAATTAGGAAAATTTTATGATGACGCATACCTATGTATGTTTAAGGGAGCTTCCGAATCAATGTCATCTGATGTCTGTTAATGATTTGTTGAAAGTAAAGATAAAGTGTAAAAATTCAGTTGAAGAATCTAAAATTTATAATAGATCCCTCAGAAATTTGAAAAAAATTACTTCAAAAATCACTTACAAGTTACTTAAAATCGCCCAATTCGAATTTGCGAGCTTATTCGTGCAAAGGGGCAAAGCAGATAACACGAAAAGCCGCTCGTGTTGTTATTTCTCTCGGTCCCTTGAAAATTTGACCCAGCAAGATATCACTGCATTTTTATGATTTGTCTGTCGCTATACCTACCAAAAATCCATAGTTTTTCAGACGAAAAGACGCGAATATATTTCAACGTAGCAAAATGTCTACCAACACGTTGCATTTTTTACTATAACAAAATGTTGAGCATTTCCAACCGATGATTTCGCTGATTTTTCCTCCGTCAACATAATGATAAGAAACTGTTGTTGATATCGGTTCAAACCAAATGAAACTGTGGGTTATTACGATTTTTACCCTCAATTCCTTCGATAATGTACGGGTAAAGCTTTTAAATGTGCATTGTTGAACTGGACTACATTTTTCAATAATTTCTGGCTCATTTGAAAAACCAGCATTGGTGTGATTCGTTTTTCTGCGGAGATTGGTATTTTTACGGATGAGCATGAACGAGTAGCCCCTCATTGCAAAGTGTAGTCCCCTTAATCCCCGAGGACTCGTAAAAATAAGGGGTCCTTTTCCAATCTCAGAGGATGTGATCATTCCGATGCTCAGGATCTGTTTTCATTTCACCTAGACATGTTCAAATGAAGAGGAATGAGCTACGCTCGTTCACGTGCTTAAGAATACGCCATATTGCCTAGAATGTTATGAGCATTTCTTTTCGAAGATCGAGCAAAAAAAGCCTCTAAGCCATACAACTATTACAAGTAAGCAATATGAGTTTTTTACCAAACGGGGAAGGGTTATTCTAACAACAAATCAGCTTGCCTTCAATTTTTAATGTTGGCAACGCGACCTCTCATGGGGTTGAGTAGTGGTACCATTGTGATATGACACGCTCACTCAGTAAACACACAAATATGAGATTTTTACTGAACAGGTTACCGTCGTACCGTCGTACCGTCGTGTACCGTCGTACCAGTTTGCCTTCCATTGATGATGCCCTGGGACCTGACAACGCATGGGACGATACGGGGTGGTTTTACGCCACCCCCCTCCTTGTGGTCAAAGTTGTATTGGGAGTATCGTCGGTCTTGGCACCTGGGTGCGAACCTCTGTCATGTAATTTATTCTAAATGCTTCTATGATAACCTCTTTTTTGTTACTACGAATGGGGGTGAGGGGTATTTTATTTTGTATTTTTTTTTTCATTACACTTCTTGTTTCCTGGTCGAGGAGGGGGTTGAAACCACCCCGAAACGTCGCAGGCATTCTTTTTGTTTTTTTTTACGTCGGTTTCCTATTTTCTTGTGTTTTTTTTTGGATACTTGAATATTGTGCATTCATGAAGTTGGCCGGAATTAATTGGTTGCGTTGTGTGTTTCAGGTGTGCGGGAGCCTTGCTGAATAGTGAGGGACCCTCGGTGGGATTCTCGGTGAGGCAGGGCTCGGACGAGCCGGGCCTAGCCATCGCCGCCACGCGCCGCGCCGCGCCGCGATCGAGCCTTGGCCCCCGTAATTAGTGCCGAGCTTGGGAGCCAATTCATCACGCTGAATTACGCGGATTTGGGGAGCCCGTTCGGCCGGGGCGGAGCCGGGGGCGCCCCGAGCCCGGGGGTGGCAAGCACGCCGACGGCGACGCCGAGCATGGGCGCCGGCGACATGGAGCACGGGGCCCACCACCAGCACCCCCACATTAACCCCCACCCCTCGCACCCCACTCACCCGGACACGGGGCCCTCCCCGGTGCCCACCTCCAAGTCGGCCTTCATCGAGCTCCAGCAGCATCCTTACAACCCCATCCGATCCTCCTACCACCCCCATCATTTCACCCACCAGAGCCCCCAGCCGGCCCCTGGACCCGTCCCCCACCACCATGCCGTCGAGTCCGCCGCCGGCTTCCCCAGCCCCCGCCACCCTCCGCCCCTCGGCGGTGCCTACCCCTTCTCGCAGAGCCCCTACGGATATCTCACTTCCTACTCCCAGCAGTGTCCGTCCCCCACCAAAGATGGTAAGCTTCAATTTTATTTTTTCATATGCCTACATTTTTTAAAAAAAAAATACTTTATGACGTCATCTTGGCTTTTCCATTGACGTTTTAGGATTAGTTGATTCATCGAGCAATTAGCACTGATACAACGACGATGACGTCATTGTAAAAGGCAGGATGACATCATACAAAAACCTCGATTTGGAAAGGAAGTAATCAAAAAAGCCATAATGACGTCATCTCGGCTTTTCCGATTAGCTAATATAATGATCGATCAGATCAAAGATAGCGCCATACACACAAAAATTGGTTTACTTCTTTTTTAGAATAGTAAGAAAAATTTGTAGGTTTAAAGTGAGTTTTGAATTTTCATTCGTTCCTATGTTATTTTAGCAGAGCATGAATGTATAGATACCTAAACATTAAAGACAAAAATTATGAAACTTTTTTTTTCTAGAAAAAAATAAATTCTCTGAAGATGTGTACGCACTCTTCAGAAAGCCAAAAATGCAGTAGAAGAGAGATAAAAATAAGCAATCGGACCTTGAATAGGAGTTTTGAACTTCCACTTTCCTACCCAAGTAGCGCAGATTGCAATAAATCGCCATTGTATGGGAAAAGTATTGCCACTGCATATTATGCGTCCTTGTATTTAGGTTATATATGTTGCCTATACCGACTGATCGAGGGGACACCTCTTATTGAAATATAGATAAAAAATTTGACATTTTTCTTCGCATTGCAAATTTCCTCTCTTCCTGATCCATGTAAGTCATCTTATCGATCGTTTAAAATCAGCAAATATTGACTAAGTCATCTAAAAAAATATATCAATTCTATGCGAGCACAAAATTGCAATTTTACCCACTACATTAAAATGAAGTTTTCCTGAAGTAGATTAAAATGGGTGTGTTGCAAGCAAAAGATACAACAAAGTTAATATAATTTTAAAGGGAAAATTCGCTCGAAAATCACGTTGGGCACATCAAAGAAGTCGGAAATCCTTTTCCTAGCGCGCAATCTGCGCAGTTCGTTACGCGCTTTTTCAAGTTTCGCGCGTCTGCGGGCAGTGTTTCTTGGTCTTCTTGGCGGTCGGCAGTTAGGTTTGCCCAAAGACATAAAGACGGAGTGCTCGTATCTAAAAGCACGGGGAAAAAGTGAAGCCTGGTTTGGCGCTGGGCGCTTGTGTGAGTGTGTAAATGAGCGCGGGAATCCATGGCGGCAAACGGAAATTTGATTTGAACTTGTCATCTTGATTTTTCCACATTTCTTCTTCGAAACTTATTTTAAATGCCTAAAACGAATATTTTAAGAAAGTTGGGACCGCGCCCTATTATAATACACCTACTTTTGCTCGGTAACAGGCAGTAATCGCAGATAAAGTTAGTTTTTCTTCTGCTCATGGTGGTTCTGCAGGTTCAAACAGACCGTTACAGTTCTAGATGACCGTTACTCCCAAATGAAATTAATCGGTCGACGACGGACCAAAGCTAACATAAAGTTTCAAAAATATGAGTGGGTAAGTGAATTTGGGCAAAAATTAACCTAGAATATTTTGTTTCCGCAATTTTATCTAGTTCCCGCCCTACATTTGAATTTCAAACTTGTCCCGATTTTGCCGCCAATCCTCTAGCCAATAGTAGAGGTGGTTGAAAAGAAGCTTTATTTTTTGTTTTTAGCCCTCCGTGTTTATATTTTTGGGTTTGCCCAGAGACAAATAGAGACCGAGCACGTTGGATTTTCAGTGAGGCACATCTATAATTCTCGGGGATCCAACGGAACAACAGTCATGTATTTTCTGATTTCGCCTAAAGTTGACTGATGCTAGTCGGCTGTTGGCATTATGGCGGCTTGTTTACATTCCTCCTAATCAATTGCAAAGCGGAAAATTTTCCAATTTATCCTTTGAAACTCTTCCAAATTTGTATAAAATGACTTATTACTAGGTAAAAAATTAATTCGCCCCTTTTAATCAACATTTGTGATACTTGCGGTGGTTTCACTTTATGTAGTGAGAAGCAGATTCCTCGAGACTCTGAGCCTGGTCCGCAGATTGTTCAACTTCTTAATGGATAATTTTAGTTATCGAACTTTTTTTTGACTTTAAATGGTGTATAATTTTTTCCAGACAGTATCAATACCTTGTGATCAAATTCCCAATCTATTAACCTCCATATCAAGTCGCAGGATAGAGATATTTTAGCTATTTGAGATCTGTCAAGAACCTGATCACAGCAGCACTGCCAGTCTTACAGATACACTGTATTGAAATTTGATGAAAAAAAATTTACTGTGTAAGTCATAAGCTGCTCACTATGATAAGTATTAATCGTGGATCAAATGCTGGATGTCTCCAACATCCTATCTCTAAGCCTGATGTAGTGCGTTGAAAGCGGAGTGTTATGGCTGCGAAGCGTCGATATTTGTTGTTGAGGAGGCGTGTAAATGAAACGTTTGGATAAGCTCGCAAGCTGTACGAATTCTTTTGTGTGTGGAAAATAACTGAATGTCCAGAATTCTAAACATCTGACTGTATCTCAAGTACCTAAAGGAAATGTTGGTCAGGTCAGAGTTTGTAAATCCTTGGCAGCAGTTAATGCAATTCCTCTACGTATTTAAGGCCTTCGCTCATCAGAGTTAGGTAAGTAAGAGACCGCTCAGATCCATCATATTATGCTTGTAAGTATTAGTCCATAACTCCATAGTGTAAAAATCCTTGGAGGGTGAAGTACCCATCATCTGATGGAGTTCGTGAGATTTGTTTAAGAACTTTTCTTCCTGATTTTTCTCTCAGTTTTACTAGAATTGTCTCTTCCACCACCATCATAAAGTATTTCAACCTTGCATTAAATGAGAAATGATGTATACGCTATCAACTTCGCCTTAGAATTCCTAAAATTGGGAGTCTTGAAACAAAAATAAAGTAGCTTCACCGTTAACATTTGCTAGCTTAGTTGGCAGTAAAACTCTCATTACCTAATTCGGTGAAAATAAAAGTAAATGTTTTTTCTTCGCTCATTTCGTTGAGGAAACACCTTGAATACATTTAAATTGTGATACTGGATGCAACTAATACTACCTACTTCCTGTAAAATTGGAAAAATGTGTAACTCGAAAAAAGGAAAGAGGTTCTCACCAGGGTGCTCTCTTACAACTTATAGATCAAAATTCGTGATATTTCGGCCCTTAAAGGTTCTTTCATCATTCAGAAATAAAGAAACTAAATTTAGTTTGAGCAGGCATCTTTCAGGAGAGAAATGTGACAGCTTATTTGCAGTTTTTAGCTTTTTCATAATGCGTCAAATCTACCTCTTGACGAGAACAGGCGAAGATTCGAACCGCGCACTACTTATTGTTGGTTTACATTTCTCACTTACCAAACTTTAATGAGCAAAGTTGTTAGGTACGTAGGAGAATTTCATTAACTGCTGCCAAGGATTCACAAATTCTGACCTGACCAACATTTCCTTCAGGTACTTGAGATACGGTCAGATGTTTAGAATTCTGGACATTCAGTTATTTTTCACACATAAAAGAATTTGTACTGATACAGGCTTATCCAACCGTTTCATTTACACGGCTCCTTAAAGACACATATCGACACTTCACAGTCGTAATGCTCCGCATTCAATGCATTACATCAGGCTTCGGGATAGGATTTTGGAAACAGAATTATTTAGAGAATTATCTTGAAAAAATTATACACCATTTACAGTCAAAGAACATTTCGACTGCTAAAATAATTATCCATATGGAAGTTGAACAATCTGAGGACCAGGCTGTCTCGAGGAATCTGTTTCTCACTGCAAGAAGTGAAACCACCGAAAGTACCACAAATGTTGAGTAGAAGGGGTGAATTAATTATTTACTTGGTAAAAAGTCATTTTATGACAAATTCGAAGAGTTTCAAAGGAGAAATTGGAAAATTTTCGCTTTGCAAGTGATAAGGAAGAATGTAAACAAATCGCCATATTGCCAAAAGCTCACAAGATGCGACTAGCATCAATCAACTTCAGGCGAAATCAGAAAAATGATTACCGTTGTTTTGTTGAATCCGCGAGAATTAGATGTGCCTCACTCAAAATACATTGGCGGAATAGGGCGTGCTCGGTCTCTATTTGTCTCTGGGTTTGCCCCGTAGGGACCTAACCTAAATAAAGGAGCAATCTCGCAAACTGTTATAAACTCTCTCTGCGGAAGATTTTAATCGATTCAAAGCTTTTGTTTTTGCACAACAACGGAAGGAAAAGGAAACAAACGCTTGACAACAAATGAAATCATACAATAGAAAAAGTTAGTTACTCGTTTGTTTACTTAGGATAGTTCTCTCTTACTCCTCTGCCTGTGCAAACCTGACTGCCGGCTACCAATAAAAACTGCCTACAGACAAGGGAAACTTGAAAAAACGTGTTATAAACTACGCAGATTGTGCGCCAAAGGGCGGATTTTAGACTTTTTAGGTGAGCCCAACGTGATTTTGAAGCGAATTTACCGCAAAACAGTATATTCAGTTGGCTGTATCTCTTGCTCTTGCATGCAACAGACCCATTTTACTGCATTTTAAATTGAAATTTTACTGAACTAAATTGAAATTTTACTGCATTAAATTGCAATCTTATCTCAATATTTCCAACGTTCTATGATACAAGGTACCAAAAATCGATTTAAATTAGCGATTCAAATAGTTTGGAGGTTTCCTCGTGTAAGATTCAGTGATTTGTTGATATTTGTGTGGATGTTTGTTGCAGATAAATGCGGGGTTGACGATGGGACGCTCCGGGTGAACGGGAAGGGGAAGAAAATGAGAAAACCGAGAACGATCTATTCGAGTCTTCAATTACAGCAATTAAATCGGAGATTTCAACGGACGCAGTACCTTGCTCTACCCGAAAGGGCCGAGCTAGCGGCCTCTCTCGGCCTTACTCAAACTCAAGTAAGTTTACATATCTCTTTTCTTAAAAATAATTAGGGGAAAAACAGTTTTTCTACAGTGCGATAATGTCTTTAAAAAATTCAATTTCCGGTGCCGCATTGCAATCTTGATGAGCTGTGGTGTATCTCAGTCTCACTTTGTCGATATTTGATCATCGTGTCCTCTTGTCGAACCAACAATACCTATTTCCGATCTACTTGGGACTACTCTTTGAGGAAGAACCTTATCCGGGATTAAATATTCCTTAGGGTGATTCGATGGACGCCATATTTTGTGTCAGAACGGCATGCGATATATCGCATCAATTGGTTCCATTTTTTCAGCTACTCGTCATTTTCCTCCAATTTTGAGATCGCAATTCTGTTGTCAGGAGACTAAAGCACTCACTTACCAATTTTAACTAAGAAATTCAACGTAATAAAGGCGTGGTTTTTTTAGAGAGAAAATATCGCACTCGATACTGATATCGAAACTGCACTCGAATGCGATATTTTCTCTCTAAAAAAACCACGCCTTTATTACGTTGAATTTCTTTGTTAAAATTGGTAAGTGAGTGCTTTAGTCTCCATGACAACAGAATTGCGATCTCAAAATTGGAGAAAAATGACGAGTAGCTGAAAAAATGGAACCAATTGATGCGATATATCGCATGCCGTTCTGACGCAAAATATGGCGTCCATCGAATCACCTTAACTTTTTGGAAGAGCTGATATGAATAAAACTGGAAATTATGGAAGATTGTACTTTCTGCCGGGCCTCACAAGTCCGAAGGTGGGGAGGAATCGTGTTAAAAAAGGAAGAAAGAAGAAAAAAAAAACTTTTTTGACAGTCTCTTTACGAGGAAACAAATGCTCTCTTTTAAACTCTCATGTTGTAAAAGCGAGGGTATAGGCTAGAGTACCTATATGGGGAAGAGTAGAGACAGGTCGAAGTAGGCACGGAGCTCTTGGGGTCCAAAATGGCAGACATCGTTTGAAAATGAAAAATTACACTGCCAATCCTCAGATTCCAATACTAAACCAAGATGACTAAAAATGTTCGTATATGAGCGTTCTTCCCCACAAATAAGTAAATTGGTACAAAAACCAAGGCAAATAGCGCTTTCTGAACGACAGGTTCGCAGCAATTTTAGTAATAAATCACTCTGGATACTTTGATTTCGTAGATCGGCTGCCCTTTTCTGCCGTGCAACGCAAAAACGCCGAAAACGCCATTTTACATTTTTTGGAACCAATGTATCATAGCAGAAAAACTTAAGTACCTCGGGACAGTTTACCATGGGGGTTTTTACAGAATTGTTTTGCAAATATTATCAAGAACTTGACCTGAAAATTTTAGGTGCATGGGTAAAACGGTTTTTATTTTATAAAGTGTTAAGTTCCAAAAAACGAGGGAAAATCTTGATGGATCTACGGCGTTCTTGCCTAACACAGCAGTTGTGGGCCCTCAGAGCTTCATCACCTAACCTCAAAATTACGCACGTGTCCGTACTCTCCCCATATAGATTTAGTACGAGCTTTTAATGTTGTTACATTTTGTCTGACTTGTCCCGTTGACTCGTTTCACTGCGTGCGTCGCGTCGCGAGTGACGTTGGT